AAAATACAAAAAGTAGCCAGGCATTTGGCACCTGCCTGTAGTCCACAGCTACTTGAGAGGCTGAGGCAGAAGAATTGCTTGAACCCAGGAAGCGGAGGTTGCAGTGAGCCAAGACTGCGCCACTGTGCTCCAGCCTGGCGACAGAACAAGACTCCGTCTCAAAAAAAAAAAAAAAAAAAAAAAAAAAAAAAAAATATATATATATATATATATATATATATTTCAAATTCTATTTGTTGTAACATCAAACACAGATATAAAAGTCTCCAGCATATAAGACCTCCATCCTACAATGTTAATTAAAACAGGAGGGAAATTCGCTGGTGGAATCATTGGAAACTTTCAGGTGTGATTCTTTGGAGGAGAACATGGGGGCAGAAGCAGAGTCAATTATTTTTTAGGAGTTTTCATTGGATTTTAAAAACCTTTTCTTTCAAAGTTGTTAACTGAAATGTCAGGAACGGGTTACATTGTTCACTGATCCCTTCCCCAAACAAAGAAGAACTTGCTACTTGGAGGCCCCTGATCAATCACTAGAGATTGAAGTGCAAGAAAGGAAACATCGTTGACTGGAGATGTTGTTCCTAGACCTCCACAGGCTTTGCAAGTATCTTGGCAAATATAGTTAAATAAAATATAAAAAAAAGATTGTAGTTGTCTTGCTTTTTCTCACTGTCTGCATTTCAGATGTAATGAGAAGAAAATCACTATTTTATGATAATCTTATATAGTTGAGTTTGATAAGAATGACTTAGAAATGCTTCCCAATAAAAAAGAAAGAAAGAAATCAAAGTCCAATAAAGACCCAGAAGAGAATAAAAATTACTAAAAGTTACAGGTTTTAAAAATTTAGTTTCAAGATAGTTATCTGAAAAATCATAGATCAGTGTAGATAAAAATTAACATTGTCCTTCCATATTAGCATTTGGTATTAGCACTTGACAAATACTTAAATGTTGAATGTCTGATGAGCATTTACTTCCCAATTAGATTTTTTAGTTGTTTATTTTCACATTTCTTGAGGCAAGCGGTACAGAATGTAGTGGCCAAGCTCATAGCTTAGGAGTGGTTTGAAACCCTGCTTCTCTACTTACTGTGTGTCTGACCATGGGCAAATTACTTAACCCCTCTCCTCCCCAGTTTGCTCGTCTGTAAAATGACGGTGATGAGAGTCCTTATCTCCTGTGGCAATAATGAGGATTCAATAGGACAGCTCACATAAAACTCTTAGAATGGGGACTGGCATTTAGTAAGAGCTCAATAAATGTTAGCTATTTTTATTTTAAGTTCTGGAATACAAGTGCAGAATGTGTAGGTTTGTTACATAGATATATGTGTGCCGTGGTGGTTTGGTGTACCTGTCAACCCATCATCTAAGTTTTAAACCTCGGTTACAATACTATTTGTCCCAATGCTCTCCCTCCCCTCACCCCCTACCTCCGACAGGCCCTGGTGTGTGTTGGTCCCTCTCTGTGTCCATGCGTTCTCTTCGTTCAACTTCCACTTCTAAGTGAGAACATACGGTGTTTGGTGTTCTGTGCCTGTGTTAGTTTGCTGAGAATGATGGCTTCTGGGTTTACTGTTACTTATGTCATGCCAAACCATACAATGTTATGAAAATTACTGTGATTATTGGTCAAACACATAGGCCATTGGAGGAAAAATAAAATAAATTCTCAATGTTTACAGAAGAATACAGGAAACTGCTTTTCTTAAAATGTATTCACATGGTCTTTCATTTCTAAAGAAGCTGGTGTTGGCCAGGCATGGTGGCCCATACCTGTATACCTGCACTTTGGGAGGCCAAGGCAGAAGGATTGTTTGAGCTCAGGAGTTCCAGACCAGCCTGAGCAACACAGTGAGACCTTGTCTCTAGAAAAAAATTAAAAAATTATCCCAGCATGGTGGTGCATGCCTGTAGTCCTAGCTACTCAGGAGATTGAGGTGGGAGGATTGCTTGAGCCCCGGAGTTTGAGGCTACAATGAGCCATGATTATGCCATTGCACTGCAGCCTGGGTAACAGAACAAGACCCTGTCTTAAAAAAGGAAGCTGGTGTTAATCTCCCCTTCATGTAACCCACTGCACAGATGTGTGTAGCTCCAAGTGCACACAGCCTTCCATCTCTCGGCCTAATGTTACAGGAGAGTGGAGCTGGGGGAATTACAGGCAATTTCAATGAGGGGAATAGGTAGAAAGAAAACAGCTGGAAATCCCTGGAGTAACCTTACTCGTCTGATCAAAAGTACACGTCAGACTGGCAGAACTCTTGTTCATGTTCAAAACCAAAGGTTGGTAAACTTTTTCTGTAAAGGACAGGATAGTAAATAGTTTTAACTTTTGGGCCATACGGTATGTATCATAACTGCTCAGCTCTACTTCTGAAGCACAAAAGCATCATAGATAACAAGAAAAAAATGGATTGTGGCTGTCTTCCCATCAAATGGTACATACAAAAGCTGGGGTGGGTCACGGTTTGCCAACCCCTGATCTGGAATACACTTGAATGTGGTGCATAGCCTTCATTACGTTTCTTGTAAAATTGTCTCAAATTTAAGCTGGAGGTCCTTTCTTACCTCAGATTCCTTCTTTCACTCCCCCCACATTTTATATCTGCAGCTTTATTCTGGTGGCAACCCAAAAGGTCAAGGCTTGGCTCCATCCCGCAGCACAGCAGGATATTGGCACAGACTCAACCCTCCCAGGTTCTCAGAATGGAGCTCATACAAAGCTAAGCCTCTTGATGATATTGACAACCTCACAGAGCTCAGTGCTTAGTATATTTTGTTTTTTGAGATAGGGCCTTGTTCTGTCATCCAGGATAGAGTGCAGTGGCACAATCTCATCTCACTACAACCTCTAGCTCCCTGGATCAAGTGATCCATCCATCCCAGCATCTGAAGTAGCTGGGACCACAGGCACAAGTCATCAAGTCTGGCTAAATTTTGTATTTTTTGTAAAGATGGGGTTTCACCATGTTGCCCAGGCTGGTCTTAAACTAAGCTCAAGGGATCTTCCTCTCTCGGCCTCTCAAAGTGCTGGGATTACAGGGATGAACCACTGTGCTTGGCCAAGTAATTAGTTTTTAATGGAAAATGAGTCTGTATCTTTTAAGATCTTTGGAAAGATATCCATTCTTCTTCCCTCACGGCAGCTAGCACAATGTCCTACACCCAGTAAGTATTTGTTGATGTTAGTTTGAGGTCATGGCAACTGTGACTTTATCCCTTTATACAGTAGTTTGGTGAAGACCTGGCTTTCTAGTTCCAGAAGCAGAACTGAAGCAAATTCCTTTTCTTTTGGGAAAACAGACCTTTTGCAAAGAGACACAGACTTGCACAAGAAAGCAAACCTGTCTTCCTGAGACTCATAGGGGAGTGAGTGGGGAGGTGTTGGAATCCTCAGGGGAAATTATGGGTTATGGTTTCTTTCTGTTCTAGATAAGGGTTGGGCACAGGCAGATCCTGGAAAAAGTGGAGTCCTTTATTGCCTAGTGGGAGATGGCATTTCCAGGAGCAGTCCTGGCTGGTGCAATGGTGGCTGCTTGTACTCTTTCTTTAGGCTCTTATAGGAAGATAGCCAGGGCAGCTCCCTAAAGAAAACAGCTGGGTGGAATCGTTATCCTTATCAACAAGGCTAGATCACAGGGGCTGGTGGCCTTATCATATCAGGGCAACCAGTGATTTCACCATGTCACCAACTACTCCTTTAGAAACCAACTGCATTGTGACATTTCAAGCATAACAATAGTGCCCAAATCCATTCTGCCATATTATAACTCAGCTGCATCAGCAAGTTTATTGCTAAAGGCCTAGAGTCTCAAATTCTTTATGAGATAGCCTAAAGACATAAGAAAGAAAGTCTAATTTCATCATAGCATTTACTTGGCTGTGTGTACGTGCACACGCCAGGTCCCAGGAATGAGGAAATTTCCCCAAAAAGCTCTAATCAATTCACTTTAGTAATTTCTTATTTGTTTCACTCTGATACTGAGTTTTCTTCTCATTCAAACATTCATTTATTCATTGAAATATTAGAAATGTTAGTTGAGTGTCCTCTATGTATCTATCCATTGTCCTAGGTACTGTGGATGCCACTGTAAATAAAACATGTAAAACACTTGCTTTCATGAAGTGTATATGCAAGAGTCTGACAAAGAAATATGCAAGTGAAATATGCAAATGTCAGATGTTGATAAGTGCAATGGAGATCAATGAAGTAGGGAAGGTGGTGAGATAGCTGCAGAGATGTAGACTGGTTGGGGGAATGCTGTGAGCAGTGGGACTCAATCCCTTTCAACCTGGCCCCTGTCACTCGTTCAGACTAGTGCATCCCTCCAGAGAGCCACCCTTGATCATCCTGGGCCTTCACAGAGGCTACCCTCCTGCCCTTGTCCCTACTCACTTGGGGGACCCCTCCTCACACTGCAGGGCTCAGCACACTGGCCTCCAGAAAGCCCCACTTCTTCCCTCACCAGCGCTGACCTGAGGCCCAGGCCACTCTTCTCTGGCCCCCCACTTCACCTGGTGCTTCTCACGCTGAAGGATCTTCATGGCTGGGGGCCTTCCTGAAGAGGCTATGGGCTCATGGAGGGTGGGGTATGTCTGTTTCCTCTGTGTCCATTACATAATCTCAACCACATGAGGAAGGAAAAACCCTACAAGGAAAGGAAAATATTCTCTCCCTTCTCAACAATGGTTGAGATCAACCATTGAGAGATGAAAGAAAAGGAATTGAATATTTTGCATGTAGACATTAGGAGATCTTCAAAATCCAAAAGCTATTTCAGATTTTGAAATTACAAATGACTGAAAACCACCATGGCACGTTAAACCTATGTAACAAACCTGCACAGTCTATACATGTGCCCCAGAACTTAAGAGTACAATAAATTTAGAAAAAGAAACTACAAATGAAAATGCTGTTGAAGTGTTGTACCAGTTTAAATAGCTAGGAAACAAAATATCAATCTCTATAATCCATCTAAACAAAAGCACTTACTTTTTAAAAGAGGAAGATGTTTTGGGGACCAAAAGAGAGAAAACCTATGTGAAAGATCCCCAGCCATGATTGGCCCCTGCTTTGCTCTGAGCTCATGAAAAACCTTTGTGACGTCATAACAAACAGGCCTATATAAGGCCCTGGCTGGGTCATGGTTTTTGGTCTGATATATCCCTGGAAGCTTCTTTGGTGACCTGTGGACTCAGACCAGCTTAGCAATTGTGAGTTGTGTGGGGTGTGTGTGTGTGTGCGTGTGTATCTGTGTGTGTTTCTGTGTTTGAAGAGGGTTGTGTGGGGGTGTGTTTGGGGTGGGGGAGAGTTTTTGTGTGGGGGCGCTGGTGTGTTTTTCTAGTTAGCATTGTTAGCATAGTTAACATAGTCAGTATCGTTGCTTAGTATTTTAGTGTACTTTGATATAGTCAGTATTGTTGCTTAATATTTTAGCATAGTCAGTAGAGTTAGAGTAGTTGTATAGCTGGTGTAGAGAGATACCAGGCACCATGAAGCAGGGATTGGCCTCCATCTCACCTGCCCTGGGGCCACTGTATTATCAAATACTGAACTTCATAGGCTGTGGTGCCTTTGGTGAGGTCACGCTGGCCCAGCACTTACTGAGTGGCACCCGGGTGGCGGTGAAAACAATCCACAAAACTGGCTTCCTCACTAGCCACAGAGAGATGACTATTTTAAAGTCGGTGCACCACCCCAATATAATTAAACTCTATCAAATTATTAACACCACAGAGGTGTGCCACTTGATAATGGAGTATGCATCAGGAGGAAGCCTATCCGACTGGATTCAACACAACATCGTGATGGAGAAGGAGGCCCGAGTCATCTTCCAGCAGATGCTGTCTGCCATGAGGTACCTCCACAGAAAAAAAATAGCGCACAGAGACCTGAAACCAGAGAACATCCTCTTGGACGGTAAAGGAAAAATATAAATAGCAGATTTTGGCTTAGCAACAACTTACTATGAGGGGCAGAGGCTGACAGTAGGTCATGGTACCCTACCCTACATGGCCCCAGAACCAATGCCCCACCATGGATGTTTGGAGCCTAGGCGTCACTTTGTTCGAGATGGTGTCCAACACTCTGCCCTTCTTCTCAGTGAGTCCTGTGCAACTCAAATCCATAATTATATCTGGAAAGTATGTTTGCCCGCACTTCTTTTCAGAAGGCCTTAAAAGCCTAATGAAAACACTTTTAACATCTGACCCCAGAGAGCGGCCGACAGTAGACAAAGTCATGAGGGACCCGTGGGTGAACAACGGCCAGGAGTTGCCTCCAACAACACATGAAGAGCAAATTGTAGACCACCCGAACACTGAAACCATCCAACTGTTGGTGGCCATGGGATTGAAGGCAGAAAACATCTCAAAGGCAGTTAAAGAAAACTTATTTAATTATCCCATGGCCACCTACCTTATTTTAGATGGAGAAAAAAAGCAATCCACTAACACACTACAGTCTCTTGCTCCTGGGGATCCCACATGTTCTTTAATGACTGAAATTTCCAGTTCACCTGCCGGCCTGCACAAGAAGCCAGAGAGTTTTAATCCAGACCCATACAGCTCTTGTGTTATTCACAAGCCACAGCCTCCAAGCTGTCCCAACCACATGCTTGCTCACTTCAGCAATGGTTTCTTAGCCCTCAACATCCGTGACCCCGGCACAGCCGTTAGGATACAGGAGTGTCTGGTAAAGTCTATGAAGATTATACCTGGAGCCACCCTCAGGGAACATGGCTAATATTTCGGTCCTATACCCGCATTGTCTCTGAAGCAATAGAACAGCTCAGTTTTGTAAGCCACACAATCCTGTAAAATGAAGCCATCCTAACTAACCAATTCAAACCCTCAGATAACACCTCTAAGTCTTTCTCTTGGTTGACTCTAGTACAGCAGCGAGCCAACATGTTAAATTTAACTAAAGACATGACTATCACCAACTGCTTTTTATGTGCCTCTCTCAGCAGCGCCCCCCCGCTTAGCTGCAGTTCCCCTCAGGTCCGGGTTCAATCTGTCACAATCACCTATGGGACCCGGCACCATCTTAACAGATATCCCCTTGTTCCAAGTACACCCTCAAAATTTCTCTCTCTGCCATGAGACAGCCAGCAGTTCCAGTCCCAGCTATAACACCACAGTAAATGTAAAATCCTCCCTCTACGCACTACCAAGAGGATATTTCTGGTGTAATGGAACCTTACCTAAAATTATTAATGCCTCCTTCCCTTTCCCTTGTGTGCCTGTCACCTTGGTCCTGCAGTTAGAGGTATACGGACAGGCCGAACTTCTATCCCTCCTTCCACCCTCCCCTAATCACCGAGACAGATGAGCAGTCTTCCTCCCAAAGGTCGTTGGTCTCTCTCTAGCATCCTCTCTGGTGGCAGCCGAGCTGGGTAACGGCGCCCTAGGCTACAGTGTCACCTCAGCCACTCAACCAGAGGACAAGCTTTGTGTGGCTATCGAAGCATCAGCTGCCTCCCTGGCCTCCCTCCAGCAACTCAAAAACGTAACTACTAGTAGCCTACTGTCGACTGGAAGCCTTACTGATACCATAAACAGTCCATTGACAAGTACTTATATGTTATATGCGTTGTATACTGTATTCTTACAACAAAGTAAGCCAGAGAAGAGAAAATGTTATTAAGAAAATCATAAGGAAGAGAAGATACATTTACAGTACTATGCTGTATTTATCAATAATACAAGTTTGTTGTGGTCTGTTTACAAGATGAATCATCTGTAGAAAGGGTGATGACTACAGTGCAGACCTCAGTCTATGGTACAGATCAAGCAATTCAACTTTTTCTTGTAATGACATGACTTCCCTCTGCTTTTTGGGAGCACCTCCAGCATCACTAGTGATATTTCATATGCATTCCATTGGGTTATGAAGGGTTTACAGTATTACACTAAACATGATGAAAATACACAAGAACTTCAAGAGATCACCTTGTAGTGTGATAGAAAATTGACCAGGGAGAGGAACTGCTCAAAGGGAAATGATTAGCATCACACTTCATATTTTATTATTACTATTATTTTTAGATGAAGTCTCACTCTGGGCGGGGTGGCTCACTCCTGTAATCCCCGCACTTTGGGAGACCAAGGTGGGTGGATCATGAGGTCGGGTGTTGGAGACACCGTCTCTACTAAAAATACAAAAATTAGTCAAGCGTGGTGGCAGGCTACTTGGGAGGCTGAGGGAGGAGTATCACTTGAACCTATGAGGTGGAGGTTGCAGTGAGCTGAGATTGCACCACTGCACTCCAGCCTGGGTGACAGAGTGAGACTCCATCTCAAAATATATATATTTATTTATATAAAGAACAATATATAAAATATATATATATAAGTATATATAGTTCTTTAAAATAGTGTTTAGACGTATATCATATTTTATTATTTTGCACATTAACGCACTTCTTCAATAACTAAACATCTATGATTCCTTAACATATAAAATAAATATATACATCTTCTAAAAACAGGGTACAAGGCCAGGCAAAGTGGCTTACACCTGTAATCCTAGCACTTTGGGAGCCACAGTGGAAGAATTACATGAGCCCAAGAGTTTGAGACCAGCCTGGGTTACATAGGGAAATCCTGTCTCTACAAAACAATTTTAAGTAAATTAGCTGATCATGGCAGCATGCACCTGTGGTCCCAGCTTCTTGGGTAGCTGAAGTGGGAGGATCATTTGAGCCTTGGAGTTCCAGGCTGCAGTTAGCTATGATTATGCCACTGCACTCCAGCCCTGGGTGACAGAGTGAGAACCTGTCTCAAAAAAAAAATAATAATAACAAAACACGGTAGAAAAAAATGACTGATATGCTAAAATACTGATGACACATTTAGGTGAAAAGGAAGATTAAAACAAAATGTTCGGTACACTCACATTTTAGTAAAGTATGCCTTGTTACATATGACTAAATGGAAATCCAACAGGAATCTAGTACAAAATCCTAACAATTCCTCCCAGACATGAACTAACAGATACTTTTATTTTCTTCCTTCTGCTTTGCTTGGACTTCTCATATCTTCTAAAACTAAGATTACCTGATTACTTTTATTTCTTCATTTTTTTTTTTTTTTTTACAAAGTTTCACTCATTGTCACCAAGGCTGGAGTGCAATAGGGGCCATCTCTGTTCACTGCAACCTCCCAGGTTCCTTCCTCAACCTCCCAAGTATCTGGAATTACAGGTATGTGTCACCATGCCTGGCTAATTTTTGTATTTTTAGTAGAGACAAGGTTTCACTATGATGGCCTGTCTTGTCTTGAACTCCCGGCTTCAAATGATCCACCCACCTAGGCCTCCCAAAGTGTTTGGGAGGTGTGAGCCACCGAATCTGGCCTAAGATTTTTTTTTTTGAGACGGAGTTTTGCCCTTGTTACCCAGGCTGTAGGACAATGGCGCGATTTAGGCTCACCGCAACCTCTGCCTCCTGGGTTCAGGCAATTCTCCTGCCTCAGCCTCCTGAGTAGCTGGGATTACAGGCACGCGCCACCATGCCCAGCTAATTTTTTGTATTTTTAGTAGAGACAGGGTTTCACCATGTTGACCAGGATGGTCTCGATCTCTTGACCTCGTGATCCACCAGCCTCAGCCTTCCAAAATGCTGGGATTATAGTTGTGAGCCACGGCGCATGGCCAGATTTTTATTTATTTACTTATTTTTGAGACAGAGTCTTGCTCTGTCACCAGGCTGGAGTGCAGTGGTGCAATCTTCGCTCACTGCAACCTCCCGGTTCAAGCAATTTCCCTGCCTCAGCCTCCTGAGTTGCCCAGCTAATTTTCATTTTGTATTTTAGTAGATACAGGTTTCCCCATGTTGGCCAAAATGGTCTCCATCTCCTGAGGTCATGATCTGCCAACCTCTGCCTCCCAAAGTGCTGGCATTACATGCAAGAGCCACAGCACCTGGCCAGATTATTTTTATAATCAGAGGAAATGTTACTTAAATTTGTGTCAGTCTTTTCAACTCTTCTTGTGGAAATGTTACTAAACGGATAATCAAAAAATGATTGTGACAGAAAAGGTCTTTGCTGCTACATGA